CCTGGGTTGGAGAGGAGGAGCCGATGGGCTGGAGACTGGTTATGGGCTGATGAACTCAATGTGGGTGATTGGGCTGAATATAAAGTTGGGCTTCAATGAATTAAGGGATAAGTGCACTACAAGTCCTAAAACTTGTCACAAAAGTGCGTTTGAGTCCTAAAACTTGTAAAAAGTTCATTTGAGTCCTAAAACTTGTCAAAATGATTCATTTGAGTCCTAAAGTTAACACCATTAGATTTACTAACGGAAAATGCTGACGTGGCGCTGATGTGTCATTTTTAATTATTTTTCTTGAGACACGTGGCGCCACGTCAGCAAAAATAAAAATAAAAATAGAAAAAACTGAAAAAAAACAAAAAAAAAAGAACCGGCGGTGGCCAAGCCCGGCGGCCGGGAAGGACCGGCGAGGGTTGCCTGGGCCTTCCCGAAGCCCGGCGACCCTCGCTCAGATCTGGGGCGAGGGTTGCGCCCTCCCCCAGATCAAGGGTCGCCGGCCTCGCCGGGACTCGCCGGGGCCGGCGAGGGTCGCTGGGCCTTCCCGAAGCCCGGCGACCTCCGCCGGCCCGGGCGAGTCCGGCGAGGCCGGCGACCCTCGATCTGGGGAGGCGCGACCCTCGCCCAGATCTGATCGAGGGTCGCCGGCCCTCGTCGGGGACTCGCCGGGGCCGGCGAGGTCGCCCGGGCCTTCCCGAAGGCCCGGGCGACCCTCGCCGGCCCCGGCGAGTCCCGCGAGGCCGGCGACCCTCGATCTGGGGAGGGCGCGACCCTCGCCCCGGATCCGAGCGAGGGTCGCCGGCCCTCACCCGGGGCCGGTGAGGGTCGCCGGGCTTCGGGAAGGCCCAGGCGACCCTCGCCGATCCTTCCCGGTGGCTGTGGCGGTGGCCGCCGGGCTTGGCCACCGCCGGTTCTTTTTTTTTTTTTTTCCTTTTTTTGGTTTTTTTTTGTTTTTTGTTTTCAATTTTTATTTTTATTTTTGCTGACGTGGCGCCACGTGTCTCAAGAAAAATAATTAAAAATGACACGTCAGCGCCACATCAGCATTTTCCGTTAGTAAATCTAACGGTGTTAACTTTAGGACTCAAATGAACCATTTTGACAAATTTTAGGACTCAAATGAACTTTTTGCAAGTTTTAGGACTCAAACGCACTTTTGTGACAAGTTTTAGGACTTGTAGTGCACTTATCCCATGAATTAAAAAGAAAACTGGAATTTGGGCTTGAACGTTGTGATAACCCAAGCCCAATAAGCAGTAACCGTATTTGGATTGGGCCATAGGGTTGACCCGATTTGAGACCCAACCCGGATCGCTAGGGTCCGGGTTAGACCGGTGAATTGGACTGGGTTCCCCTAACCCGGTCCGAAGTCCTTTTCTTTTTCGAAATAAAAATAATAAAAATAAAAAATTCAGAAAAATAAAAAATGTGGAAAAGGTTATAAAAAAAATAAATTAGAATTCACATAGTTTAGGGCTTTTAATAAACACTTTAGGTTTGAACAAAATTTGTACCCAAAATTGAATGTGCCTTTAGGGCTTTACTTTAGGAATTTTTTATTGTTTTTTTCTTTTAGAGACGATGCCGGATCGCTATTTGTGCATTTGCATTTTGATTTCATTTGATTGCGCACTTTAAATACATTGTTTGTTGTTTTTCCCTTTTAAAATGATTAGGACGAAATTTAAAATTTTCTATTAGTGAAAGACTGCCTTGACATTTTAGTTAGCAAATAGTCAAGTTTAGATACCGAAAGGGCAATAGTTGAAAAATTATTGTAATCAAGTCCCCGATTCCTAAAAACCTCTAGTTGTGTATGTTTTCAAGATGACACTCCTGCATTTCGATTAGGGTTTTTAGCCGACCCTTAATCGTGACTAGTGGTGACTCTTATCGAATACATAGATTTAAACAACCAATGTCACGCGAGGTATGAACTTACGGAGGGTCACATAAAATACCTCTAAATCTACTTCCTCGAGGCAGCCTTGGAGGGGTAGGTTGCGAAAATAGACTTACATTAGCAAAAGATGACAAAACCAACATATGCTCAAAAAGGAAATAAATGAAGTCAACCATCAATGGTACCAAATTAGACAAACTATATGCACCACAAATTGCCTTACCCAAAAGTTCCCATTACTTGACTGGATACATAAGTATATCCATCAAAATCAAACTTTGTAAGTTCAAAATCTAAAACACAAAATCAATACATCAGCTTTTATAATCCATATCCAAATAGCTTCACGCCACAAGATTAAATCCTGCATTAAAAATTTTATCCCAACTCCAAAAATAGTTGCAGATGAAAAATCTATTATTTGATTCTCCTAATGATTTCATCAAGAAACCAACTTTTGAAGCCAAATATCTTTTTCCGTTTATCTTATCTTCGGCTTATATTGAGGACCTTCAAGGGATACAAATTGCTTTTCAAGATATGAAGTAAAGCAATAACTTAAGGAAGTAACTAGATCATGTGGCAGAGAATTTAATAAATATTCTAGATGGTCAATATTATCATGTAATGATTAAACAATTTCACATCATACCTTTGCCTCAAAATTGAAGTCTAGAAGAATAGTAGAAGCCTCGATGTCATGGTGAAAGATTTTAGGATTTCTTGATAAGTGAATCCAATAAAGATGCACTGCAAAACTTATTAGATAATATTTGAAAAAGCATACTTGGAGTCCTCATGCAAATACACCCATCCTCTCGCGGAACCTAAAGTAATCTTTATCCTCATAGGCCAAGCCATAGTTGGGCAATCCTTCCATGCAATTGCCAGTTATAATAACTATAATGTTTTCATTTATCGGAGGGAGGGGGAGAGAGAGAGAAAGTCACACTCACCATGTAAATGAAATTCCTTCTATGAGCATTAGAAATGCAGTAACCAACCAGGGAAACATGGTGTCTGCGATGGATGCAATTGATGATGTCAACTTCTGCTTGAAATTTTCTCTTCCCTTTTCACTTCCAAGTATAACTACTTGATTGCAACTACTTTCTCGCTCGAAAGCACTCCCTTATGAACATAGCCAAAATCACCTTGGCCAAGGAACTACCGGCCTGTGACGCTCAATTATCAACTCTAGAAGCACAACACCAAAAGAAATTATTTATGATTTCTTAGTGAGCTCCTCACTGGACACGTACGCTCGAGCTACGTATCTCCATTTTGTAGACTTACATTAGCAGAAGATGACAATGTCAGTATATGATCAAATAGGAAATAAATGAACTCAATCATCGATGGTATCAAATTAGACAAACCGTATGCATGAGAAATGACCTTACCCAAAAGATCCCATTACTTGACTGGATACATGAGTATCTGTATCAAAAGCAGACTTTAAAAATCCAAAATCTACAGCATAGAATGAATATGTCAGCTTTTATCATATCCAAATTGTGTCACACGACAAGATTAAATCTTGCATTAAAAAATTCATCCCGACTCCAAAAATTGTTGAAGACGAAAAGTCTATTATTTTGTTCTTTTAATGATTTCATCATGAAACCAAACTTTTGGAGCCCAAAGATCTTTTGCCGTTTCTCTTATCTTTGGCTTATATTGAGGACCTTGGAGGGATGTAAATTGTTTTTCAAGCTATGAAGTAAATAAATAACTTAAGAACTAACTGGATAATGTGATAGTGAATTGAATAAATAGCTTAGATGACCGACATTATCATGTAATGATTAAACAATTGCATATCATACCTTTGACTCAAAATTGAAGTCTAGAAGAATATTAGAATCCTTGATATCACGGTGAATGATTTTAGGATTACCTAAGAAGTGAATCCAATAAAGATGCACCGCAAAACTTATTAGATGAGGTTTAGAAAAGCATACTTAGAGTCATCATGCAAATACACCAACCCTCTTGTAGAACCTCAAGCAATCGTTATCCTCATTGACCAAGCCATAGTTGGACGATCCTTCCATGCAATTGCTAGTTATAATAACTATAACGTTCTCATTTATCAGAGGGAGAGAGAGAGAGAGAGAGAGAGAGAGAGAGAGAGAGAGAGAGAGAGAGAGAGAGAGAGAGAGAGAGAGTCACACTCACCATGTAAATGAAATTCCTTATATGAGCACCATAAATGCAGTAACCGGCCAGGGAAACAAGGTGCTTGCGTGGATGCGATTGATGATGTCAACTTCTGCTTAAAATTCCCTCTTCCCTTTTCACTTCCAGCTTTAACTGCTCCATTGCAACTACTTTCTCGCTCGAAAGTACTCCCTTATGAACATAGCCAAAATCAGCTTGGCCAAGGAACTGTCGGCCCGTGACACTACACTCAACAATGGGTCGATTTTTTGTCAATTGGATGACGCTCAATTATCAACTGTAGAAGCACGACAACAAAAGAAAAAACATATAATTTCTCAGTGAGCTCTCCACTAGACACATACTCTGGGGCTACGTAGCCGTATCCGGTAGACTTACATTAGTAAAAGATGACAAAATCAATACATGCTCAAAGAGGAAATAAATGAACTCAACCATCTGTGATACCAAATTAGACAAACCGTATGCACGAGAAATGGCCTTACCCAAACGTTCCCATTACTCGACTAGATACATGAGTATCTGTATCAAAAGCAGACTTTGCAAATCAAAAATCAACAACATAGAATCAGTTTGTCAGATTTTATAATCCACATCCAAATAATTTCACACAACAATATTAAATCCTGCATTGAAAATTTTATTCCAACTCCAAAAAAGTCCATTATTTTGTTCTCCTAATGATGTCATCATGAAACCAACTTTTGTAGCTAAATATCTTTTGCCGTTTCCCTTATCTTTGGCTTATACTGAGGATTTTCGAGGGATGCAAATTGCTTTTCAAGATATGAAGTAAATCAATAACTTAAGGAATTAACTAGATCATGTGGTAGAGAATTCAATAAATATCATTGATGACTGATATTAACATGTAATGATTAAATAATTGCACATCATACCTTTGCCTCAAAATTGAAGTCTAAAAGAATATTAGAAGCCTTGATGTCATGTGAATGATTTTAGGATTACCTAAGAAGTGAATCAATAAAGATGTACCGCAAAACTTATTAGATAAGGTTTAAAAAGCATACTTAGAGTCCTCATGCAAATACGCCAACCCTCTTGTGGAACCTAAATCAATCTTTATCCTCATAGGCCAAGCCATAGTTGGGCAATCCTTGCCAGCAATTGCCAGTTATGATAACTGTAATGTTCTCATTTATCAGAGAGAGAGAGAGAGAGAGAGTCACACTCACATTGCAAATAAAATTTCCTCTATGAGCACTACAAATGCATTAACCAACAAAGGAAACAAGGTGCCTGCGATGGATGCGATTGATGATGTTAACATCTGCTTCAAATTCTCTATCCCCTTTTCACTTCCAACTTTTAACTGCTAGGTTGAAACTATTTTCTAGCTCGAAAGCACTCCCTTATGAACATAACCAAAATCATCTTGGCCAAGGAACTGCTGGCCCATGATGCTATCCTTAACAAAGGGTCAATTTTTGTCAGCCAAATGATGTTCAATTATTGACTCTAGAAGCACGACACAGAAGGAAAAGACATCTGATTTCTCGATGAGCTTCCCAGTAGACGCATACTCTACAGCTAGGTAGCTGCATTCGGTAGACTTATATTAGCAAAGGATGAAAAATCAATATATGCTCAAAGAGGAAATAAATGAACTCAATCATTTGTGGTTCCAAATTAGACAAACTATATGCACAAGAAATGACATTACCTAAAAGTTCCCATTACTTGACTTGATACTTGAGTATTTGTATCAATAGCAGACTTTGTAAGTCCAAAATCTGCAACATAGAATCACTATGTTAGATTTTATAATCCACATCCAAATAGCTTCACATGACAAGATTAAATCGTGCATTAAAAATTTTGTCCTAACTCCAAAAATAGTTGTAGACGAAAAATATATTATTTCATTCTCCTAATGATTTCATCATGAAACCAACTTTTGTTGCCCAAAAATCTTTTGCCGTTTCTCTTATCTTTGTCTTACACTGAGGACCTTGGAGGGATGCAAATTGCTTTTAAGATATGAAGTAAATCGATGACTTAAGAAATAACTAGATAATGTGGTAGTTAATTGAATAAATAGCCTAGATGACCGATATTATCATGAAACGATTTAACAATTGCACATCATACATTTGTCTCAAAATTGAAGTCTTAAAAAATAGTAGAAGCCTTGATGTCACGATGAATGATTTTCAGATTACCCGAGATGTGAATCCAATAAAGATGAACCGTGAAACTTATTAAATAAGGTTTAAAAAGCATACTTACAGTCCTTATGCATATATGCCAACTCTCTTGCAGAATCTAAAGCAATCTTTATCCTCGTAGGCCAAGCTATATTTAGGTAATCCTTCCCTACAATTGCCAGTGATAATAACTGTCAAGTTCTCAATCAGATTTGAGCTCCAAAATAACTAAGCATCCTATGTTCCCAATGCATGCGTATCTCAGTGGAAATCAAGTTAGATGATTATTATGGAATTGTTATGAAAGTGTTAGCTGACTGCAATGTCAGGGTCCTGAGATTTTTCCCATTTTTTTTTTCCATTATAGGGAATTTTTGCCGCTTCCAATGTTAAGGCTTGGCGGTTGTTGTCGTCACTGACAACAACATTTGGAAATAACAATCACAATTTAACTTAATGGAAGATGAAAACAAACAGAATTCCAGCGTATTGCCATTTTGTTAGATAAACAACTTTGATTATTGCAAAATGAAGGGTGCCTATAAATAGGTCCGACTATTCCAACAACACTTCAAAAAGGCATTAACAATTGTATCAAAGTTGTATGGTAGCTAGAATCCATACATCTCAAGCAAATTAAAGTGTGAACTTGGAAATAAGGTAACAAAAAGAGAGAGAGAGGTGATTGATATTAGAAACGACATCATCACATGAAAGACATATATCAATTTCTCTAAAGTCATACTCACCATGCAAATGAAATTCCAACGTGCTATTTGGAACAAACTCGTATACAAGAATTCTCAGAGCACCAGAAATGCAGTAATCAATAAGGTTTACAAGGTGTATATGATGGATGTAGTGAATGATGTCAATCTCTGCTTGAAATTCCCTCTCCCCTTGTCCACTTCCACCTTTTAACTGCTTGATTGCAACTACTTTCCCGCTTGAAAGCAGTCCCTTATAAACATACCCAAAACCACCTTGGCCAAGGAACTACTGGCCCGTGACACTATGCTATACAAAAGGTCGATTTTTGTCAATCGAACGACGTTCAATTATTAACTCTAAAAGGAAGACACCAAAAGAAAAGACATCTGATTTCTCAACGAGCACCCCACTAAACGCATACTCTAGAGCTAAGTAGCTGCATTCGGTAGACTTACAAAAGCAAAAGATGACAAAACCACTATATGCTCAAAGAGGAAATAAATGAACTCAACCATCAGTGGTACGAAATTAGAGAAATTGTGGGCACGAGAAATGGCCTTACGCAAAAGTTCCCATTACTTAACTAGATACATGAGTATTTGTATCAAAAGCAGCCTTTGCAAGTCCAAAATCTGCAACATATAATCAATATGTCATCTTTTATAATCCACATCCAAATAGCTTCAAATGACAAGATTAAATCCTGCATGAAAAATTTAATCCAAACTCCAAAAATGATTGTAGACGAAAAGTCTATTATTTGGTGAATTCAATAAATGGCCTAGATGACCGATATTATCATGTAATAACTAAACAATTACATATCATACCTTTGCCTCAAAATTGAAATATAGAAGAATAATAGAAGCCTTGATGTGATGGTGAATGATTTTGAGATTACTTAAGAAGTGAATCCAATAAAAATGAACCGCGAAACTTATTAGATAAGATTTAAAAAAGCGTACTTACAGTCCTCATGTAGATATGTCAATCCTCTTGCGGAACCTAAAGCAATCTCTATCTTTGTAGGCCAAGCCATAGTTGAGTGATCCATTCCTGCAATTCCAGTTATAATAATCATAATGCTCTCAATCAAATTTTGAGCTCCAAAATTACTAAGCATCATATGTGGCCTATGCATACATATCTTAGTGGAGATCAAGTTAGCTGATTATTATGAAATTGCTATGAAAGTGTTAGCTGGCTACAATATCAGGGTTTGCTGTCCATTTCAGCAAAATCACTTGAGATATTTCCATTTTTTTCATTGTAGGGAATTTTTGCCACTTACAAGGTAATATGGCTTGGCAGTTGTCATCACTGAAAAGAACGTTTGGAAATAACAATCACAATTTAATTTAATGGAAAATGAAAATAAACAAAATCCCAGCCTATTGCCAGTTTGTTAGATAAACCATCTTTGATATATGAATTCATTATTTCAAAATGAAAGGAGCCTATAAACAGGTCTCACCGTTCCAAAAAAAAAAAAATTCAAAAAGGCATTAACAATAGAATATCAAAGTTGACTGAAAGTGACTTTCTCTTTTTCACCTTCTCGGGTTACTGTTCATGCGAGCAGAACATGTGCTCTGCTAGGGTTCTCGGCGTTACTGTTCACCCGGTGGATTTCTTCTGATTCCGATGGATTCCGGTGGCTTTTGAAGCTGTTCTCCAGCGACGAAGGCCTCGTGACTCTCCTCTGTGACTTCATTAAAGGATTCCGTCTCTTGTGCAGTATAACAGCAGCGAATTCAGATCTGGATTTCTCTGTTCGTGGGTTGCTACTCTCGCCTTTGCTGGTCGTCTGAGCGTTTGGGACCAAAGCAGATGGTGCCCTCACCTACTAAGGTAATGCCCTTGTTCTGAGGTGGTGCCGTCTCTGTGATTCTGGTTTCTCTCTTGGCTAGCCGAGCGTTGGGCTGGTGTTCTGAATTTGGTAGTTCTGGAGCGATTTTGTCTGAGCTGCGTAGCTGGAGTGTTGCAATGCTGTGGTGTGCTGCTCTATATGGTTGACTAGTTAGAGGTTTGATTGTGGGTCATTGATGGAGGAGGCTAGGATTTGTATGACCGCTTCCCCTGCTGCCGAACCTGCTCAAGGCACAGATGGTAATGCTGGAACAGAACAGAGGGGGAAAATGCCTTCCCTTTCTATTCCCCCTTCTGGACAGAGTCGAAGCCGTAGTAGAGGCCGTTCTAAGATTAGGAGCAGGTCCCTCAGGCGTGCCCATTTTCGAGAGTCCTCTGATCGGCCTCAACCTGACAATGCTGGAATGTCCAATGCGGTTGGACAGTTGCCCAACAAATCCCAAGGGCAGCAACCTCCTGCACCTAAAACCAGAACTTGGGCAAATGTTGCTAGAGTTTTAACCAAAGGGTATAGCCTAACCTATATACCTCCAACGGTGGTGGATGGTGAAGAGATCGTGGATATCACTCCAGATATAGCAGCTGCTGAGAATCCCATATGGCTGGAATGTGTTGTAGGTCAGTTTATAGGGAAGAAAGTCCCCTTCAAGCTGACTGAAGAGGCTATAAGGAAGGCATGGGGGGATAAAGTTGCTGAGATCAAACTACATGAGAATGGGTTTTATTTTTTCCGTGTTCCTGATAATGAATTCCGCAGAAAGATCATTGACTCGGGGCCGGTGTCCATCTTCAGCTGTACTATGTTATTACAACAATGGCACTCCAAGCTTAAGCTCAAGAAGGGAGCTCTGGATACTATCCCGGTTTGGGTAAGACTTAGAGACATTCCTTTGGCCTTATGATCTCCTGTTGGCATTGGTAGCATAGCCAGTGCTATTGTCAAACCATTGTATGTGGATATTCAAACTGAACAGATGACCAGGATCTCATTTGCGCGAGTATGTGTTGTAATCAAAGCCACCAAACCAAGAGCTGAACATGTTAAATTCTGCTGGGATGGTGAGGTGAATACTATCAATATTGAATATGAGTGGAAACCTATGGCTTGCGCCTCTTGCGGTATTTTTGGGCATAAAGAGGGAGCCAATGGGTTTGATTGTGGTCATGTTCAGTCCACTAATAAGACTGCTACGCCAGGCCCTTCACACTCTGTTCGTAAGTCTGGTCAGGATGTGCACCTCCAAAGGGCTGAAGGGTGGGTTCAAGTCCATTCCGGGAAAGGTAAAACTCCGGCTATCGAGCATGCCCTCGCTCCCGACCTTTGCCCTCCGGCGACTGCGAAGATCACGATCAGCCCCCTCCAGATTTACTGGTGCCACAGAACTCGGTAAACACAGAATCAGTTTTCGCTCCTGATCCTGTTCAGCTCCCCCCCTTGAAGGCTACTGTATCCGACCATGTACCTCTGTCTCTCCGGCCAGCACAGAATTCTGTTCGGACAGATTGCAGGGCTATTGATCCGTATTGCTCTATGGAACCCGAGAGAGAAGCCAATGAGATGGGGCCATCCCAAGAAGTTGAGGCGGGCCAGAGTCAAACCAATGCTCAGAAACCATCTGCATGTACTGATCAGCAGATTCTGGATCCTCTACCCACGCCACAGGATTCCACTGAAGACTCCTCTGGTTCCCGAGTAGAACTAGAGGCATCTAGTGCTTCGAAGACAGTAATTGGAAATGGAAGCCGCCGCTTGTGTCCCCCCCCAACACTAGATCTTGCACGTTTGCATCCGGTGTCTCGAGGATGTGCCCAAACCCTCTCCCGGTTCTACACATAGCTCGAAATGCCCTATGAGTGTTCCTAGCCCGTCCTCCTCAAAAAAGGAATCTAAAAGGAGGAGGCCAAGGAAAGCTCAGAGATAGTTTTTTCCCTTTCTTCCTATATGTTTTTTGGAATATGGAATATTATGGGGCTAGTTGGACCCCTTAGGCAAGCAGAAATTCGCTCCTTTATTAGGAAGAATCATCTTTGTTGTATTGGTATAATAGAAACTAAAGTCAAGGCTTCTCGGTTTATTGAGATATCTAAAGCCCTTTTTGCTAACTGGAATTGGATGTCCAATTATGAATTCTCTCCCCTTGGAAGAATATGGCTTGGTTGGGACCCAAATGAGATTGAGATGGACCTTTATTTCTCCTCTTCTCAACTAATTCATGCTCAAACAAGGTTGCTGCACATTAATGAAACTTGTATGCTCACAGTAGTATATGGAGAACACACCTTCATGAATCGAAGACAATTGTGGGCTGACCTTATTCAGCTCTCCTCATGTGATCTCCCATGGCTTGTTGCTGGGGATTTTAATGCGATTAGAGATCCAGACGATAGAGTGGGCAGTTCCACCCCGTGGATTCCAGCTTTTGATGAATTTAAGGAATGTCTCGACCATGCGGGACTGGAGGATCTCCGTTATGTTGGTTGTAGATACACATGGTCGCACTCCTCAGGTGCCAACCGGAAAATGCGTAAAATTGACCGAGTACTTACCAATGCTAGTTGGTCTCAAATCTTCTCCTACTCGGAAGCTAACTTCCCTCCACCCGGTATTTCGGACCATTCTCCTATGGTGATCAAGATTGTTCCACCGTCTACTTCGAACAAGCCTTTCAAGTTTTTCAACTTTTGGGCTTCTCATCCAACGTTTCTGGATCTAGTCACTCAAGTTTGGGATATGCATATTGAGGGTACACCTATGTTCAATGTTTGCTGCAAACTTAAAGCTCTTAAGTCTAAGCTGAAACATTTGAACCGTTGTTCCTTCTCGGATATTTCCACAAGAACAGAACAGGCTAGATCGGACCTATTCATTGTTCAGACGGCCTTGGACTCGAACCCCTTCGACCAGAGCCTTCTTGCAAGAGAAATGGAGCTTCAAAGAATATTTTCCGACCTAAGACTTCAAGAAGAATCCTTTTATAGGCAAAAATCCAGAATCCGTTGGATTAAGGAAGGGGATATGAATACCAAGTTCTTTCACCACCATGTCAATCATAGACGTCTTCATAATAGAATTTTATCCGTTTCATCAGACGATGAGGAGTTTATTACAGAACCATTGGCGGTTAGAAATCATATAGTATCTCACTTTCATCAACTACTCACCGGCGCTCTTCCATTGTTCGGACCTCGGTCAGGGAGGTGAGTGGTTTTATTGACAAGACCTTAGATGAAAATCAGCGCTATTCTTATCACAACCAGTAACCGATGAGGAAATTAAAGCCACACTTTTTTCACTTGCCAAAGGCAAGGCTCCTGGGCCAGATGGATTCAATGTTGAATTTTTCAAACTCACATGGGAGATTACTGGCCCTTCAATCTTGAGGGCGATCAAGAACTTCTTTGAAACTGGCCGC